TATATATATATTTCTTAGTTAACCTTAGGGGACAAAGTTTTAATGAGAAAAACTCATTACAAGGAAACGCTTCGCCTACACATGGCTCGACCTCTTCAAGCTTTATTCATAACATAAAATAAATAATAAATACATGACTGATACGTACGTATACAATAAAATCCGAAAAATACTGCAAATTACGAGGCAAACTACCTTTGACAAATACTGAAGCTATCACTTGACACATAGAACAGCTCAATCGTATATAAGTCGAATAAACAGCATCAGCATAACATGCTGTACATTTTTAGTTGAGTAAACACACGTACGTACATATTTCAAACGAAGTAAAGTAACCTGAAAACTTACAGTACGTATATAACCATATTAATATTTGCAAGTAAAGTTAGAAATGTTCTAGTTCAAAAAACTGTTTATATGTGCGATTCAAATTGTTGATGTCCTCCTTTCCCATTAATGTTATGATGGTTTGATTATTTCTGGAAATCCTGGTCCAGTTTTATAATTTTATGAAATTTGTATGTATATTCTAGAAACCGTTGCTATATTGAACTATTTAGAGTGTTTGTAAAAAAATTTTGAGAAAACGGTTGAGATTTCACAGCATTATTAGTGAAGATCTGTGGTAAACTCATGAAAGTACGATAGTTGTTGATTTAACGACGCATTTATTACGTGAGAAGAGATGCAGTAAGAAATAAATGCAATTTTATGCAACAGGGAGGGAAAAAGAGTCATAGTCTTATTAAAATGATGGGCATTAGTCCCAATGTAATTTTTCATAAAAAATTTTCAGCCAATGACGAATTTCCTCTACGGTACGCTACTGCACATAAAGGGCAACTACTCGGGTGCCATCCACCACCTGAAGCAAACCTTGCGCGTGGAGTCTTTCGCGATGGAAGGTAAGGCAATGTCGATGCTCCAGACGATCGCTTGCCAGGAGAAGTTCAGTGCTCAGCCTTCAGGTGATTATCGAGGAGAACTTTTCTGACGACTGCATCCACCCACTTTTTCGTCATTTACACGAGTGGATTATCTTTTTTTATGCTATGTGTGTTTTTGTCATCACCAGTTATTGTCTTAATTTTGTACCGAAAAGACCGATTTTTTAATTTTTTGCGCAAAAACCACTTATTTTTTTTTTCGTCTCATTTTATTTTTTTTAACCATGTGTGTGAACTTGAGACTTCTACTTACTTACCACGTTTTTTATTTATTTTTTTATTTTTGTGTGAAATTTTTACCCACGTGCATTCACGTACCGATGTGTTCTTTTGCCTGATGCACCGCTCGCGTGTTTTCGCAGCTCACGCTTTTTCAATATTCGCCACGTGACAGCACAGCCAAGCCTTTTTGTTGTAGAACCGAGCGACAACGACGACGATGGTAAAATGAGCTGGTGCATCGGCTATTCCGCCGACAATTTCGATAATTACGACCCGCGTCGAAGCAAAACGTTTTGCGACGACGATGGCAATAATTGCAAGCGCATCGAGTGCTACGACACGTTAGACAAGGATTTTGACTTCAATGCCTTGTTTGAGATGTGAGCGAGGAGTCGTTCAGTCTTTGTGATATCTACTGAATATGATATGCATATTTTCTCTCGAATCGCGTGTTTTTTAAAAGACTTTCTTTTTTTTTAACCGACCAAAGTGGGGGTGTGGCTAGAATAACTTGAATGAATACGGTTGCATGGGCTCAGGTAACTGGTGCGAGAACCATCTGCATTTTTGAAAAAAATTCTCGTAATTTAACACCTGTGCCTTGTTTTATGGGATCATTCCAAACACACAATTTGTGTTACATAAGTGAGGAGCAATAAAAAAAAATATACATACTTACTTTGCGTGTATTAACAACGAAAATGTTCGTTACTTTTATAATTTGTGATAGGCGTGAAAAAAAAACAGTTTCTGTATGATAGTGCAGAACAATAATTTTTTTTTTTTTTTTTTCAATGACCAAAATGGATAAAAATTTTTTTATCGGATTGACGTTGTACTCGACATTATATATACGGTGTTACATTGGTTGTTTATTGTGGCAAGTTTCTTGTACCGCTGGCGATTTTCTTACGGCACACGTACTGTGAACAAATATTTAAAAAATTTTTATAATTCAACTGTGTTAGTAATAAAAAGCAATTCCAAAACTTATTGAATAATTTTCTTTTTAAATGTGCATCATAAATCATCTGTACTTCCAAATATCATTCAATCCATCCTAATCTCTTACCTTGCACTTGTAGTCCATATTTACTAGAAAGTTATTTATGCTCACATACATTCTTTATCCAAAGCATAATTTATTTTTTGCTGAAACTAACTTATACTTATTTAAAACACATGAAAGCATACATTAAAGTTTTATGTACTTACTAGATTTTGATAAAATTAAACACATTAGATTATAAGTACTCAAAAATGATCAAGTTATATTTTTGTGTAACTTGGGTGCGTCGGAAGGAAATCATGGGCATTTTACTACTCATCAATTTAACACGTAATCTTCTGGAATATGACGGTTTATTTCGTATTTCAAAAACTGACCCACAAGGTATTTATAAAAATTAATAGAGAAGAATTTATTAAATAGAATTATTTTTTGGTTACTTCAAAATATTTTTTAGGCGCCTGTGAGATTTCTAATTAGTGATTGAATGAACAAAACTAAGAGGTTAAGCACGGGTATCATATCTATATAGTACACAAGTGATATGGATATATACTAACGTGGTGCCATTGAGATAGAGTACATATTTGACTAGTGTGGTATCGACAGTACTACTTTAAGGTGGTTCTTTCATGACTCCCGAGTCAAAGACGCGACTATCAAGTTGATATTTATTAATTCTGCCTAAATTTCAAACGACTATTTGTAAATATTGTTTATTGAGGCAAATTAAGTACTGATTCAAAATTTTAGATCATGACATACGATATAAAAGTTCGTAGGAATGATTATTTAAAATTCGCGCTTAACCTCAAAATACCAAGCAGTGGATGTGCAATATATGTTTGGAATTGCATAAGCTTTATCGTGTCAGTTTTTTACTTAATTACGTTGAGTATATAAGCAGCTAGGCTACAACTTCTAGTAAAGGAATACTAAGTTGCCATAATAGTACATGTTTGGAATTATTTACTTTTCATTAATCATTTTCTTGCGTTTATATTCGTCAGCCTACTCTAAAGTTTTGAGGGCTAGTGTATTGCATGACTCCTTAACCTTAAAGTTTCATGTTATTCTATTCATAATAATTTCATGAAAGAATCACCTTAAAGATACGTACAGAAAAATTAAAAGCACTTACGAATTACCTACATGACATGAAGAATGTCTCGAGATCGTTACCTCTCTTGTTCACGTACAGGAAGTCATTACTTTCGTGAGTTACGTTAGAGCACCGAGTCAAACGCGAGAGTAAGTTTATTCGTTTCATTTGAGCTTTTCTCGGTAAGCACACGACTGCTATCGTTGGCAAGCCTCGCATTAGCAACCTTTCAACGTCAGACTGCCGTTCTTTTAATCCCATTATGTACAGCTGGTGTGTGCGCGCTACTTACCCAACCATGTAGGTCTTACGTACCGTCCTTCGAAAAAATATTTCTCAAGGAAAAAAGGTGTCGTTTCGTTAAAGCAAAACAGACGACGATCAACAATATTTTTTAAATATTTACTCGTAACAGATCAGATATAGACAAAGTTGATTAAAAATAATTACGAGAGCTCGCAGTGGCACAGTGGTAGAGCGCTGGCTTTTCACCTGGAGAGCTAGGGTTCGGTTCCCCGCTTCGTCCACTTACAGTACTATCTCTGTGGGGTTTTGTCTTCGCATGTCCTGTTTCACTGCGAGCTCCTGGTTCATCGATGTTAAGACCGAGCCTATTTTAACCAGCAATCAAAAACGGTCCCAAATTGAAATGCTCAAAAACAAACATGTAAATGTGGCATATCGGTGTCTATCAGGTAGTCAAAAGCTAAATAGCAAATAGCAAATATAATTACATCATGTTCTCTTAAAGAATCGAAAGAGGAAAATCCTCTTTTTCAAAGTTTTAAGTGCAACGAGAGAAACAGTTATAGAAATTGATGTAATGTAATTAAATTAATGTATCTGTGAGCTGGCAGTGTTTCATTGTACATACATTTTTTGCTTTTTAAAACCCAATTTCACCGTTCAGAAAATGAATTTTTTTTTATATAAGTACAGTGATTTTTGCCGATTTCTTTGTAACAATTAGGTTGTTGTCAAACAGTTAAATGCCTCTAGACGACAAAATTTCTCTAGCTAACGGTAGATAATTGTAATTTTTGTAACTTTTCTCTGAGTATATACAACTGATAAAAATAATTGAAAAACATAGTTTTAATCGATATGATTTTCATTATTATAAGAAGTAGAATTTTTTTCAAAATTTTAAAAATATATTTAATGCTGCCAAACGTAGAACTAATTTCTTTAAGTATAGTTTTATGTGATTTATTGATGTTATTATTCCTATAAGATGCTAACTAAAAAATAATTTTTGTTGCCACTAAATTATTCAGTATCGTAAAAAATACTTTTACAGAAAACATATAGAGTATTGTGTACATTTATATTAATTACGCTCAATGTAAAAGAGCTATAAAAAATCATAAATAACTCACATTGATACGTAAACGAAATAACATATCACTTCAAAAGTATATCGTAAAAACGTATCATCTTCAAAAATATCTTATCTATTTAGGTTTCTAGGATAAGTTCAAACGTCATGAAATGTACATGAAAAAAAAAATGCTCTAGTCAAAAACAAACTTAAGTATACATAATAAATTTTTATCGGCTTGTATATTATATACTTACTATTTATTGTATTTTTTATAATGAATTTTTAACACGTTTGTATACTTTAGACAAGATACTTTATACTTCAATCAAGATGACTTTTACATTACTGTATAGCATAATTTTTAACTAATTCAATGGTAAATTACATTTATTATCATTTCCAGACTTGGGTGCAATTATTTTACAGATTTCGAAATGCTTGAAAGAAAAACTTTTTTCTAAATATGTGTTGCACTATTGTTGTTGAAAAACAAGTATATCATATTGTATTATAGTGGTGACCAAAAATTTTTTTTGCTTTATAGAAAAGCGAAGTTATTTGCAGATAATAAATTTCTTTGGTTTTAATGTATTGGAACAAAGATTACCATGCTTTTGTTTCTTTCAAAGTATAATCCATTATTTTCTTTAAAATAAGCTTTTGACATCTACTAGTTACAAGTTATAGTACAAGTTTTCTATCAAAAATAATGTATCAAAGTAAAAAAAAGACGTGCAACCTTAGCTTGTTAAAAAAAAGCACTCACGCTTACGTCCATCTATTTCACGTAAATAGTGCGCGTTTACGACTCTGAAATGGTGATTCCTTTCATTTTAAATATTTTTTACCCCGTGCAGGCAAAGTGCCGTCATCTCTCGCACTAAAAAAAAAAAAAAAAAAGGGGGGGGGGCGAACAGTCTGCCGGCAAACAGCGCCAGATCGGTACTTCGATGTACACCACAACGTACGTACACGTATCCAGTTTCTCGCACAGTCGCGCGCCGTGTAAGCGATAGGCAGAGGCACCCACGGTAGGTCTTCGCGGCCAGAAAGAAAGAAAGAAACGCCCTCACCTCTTCTCCACCGGGCGCGTTTATTTCCTTTCCGGGCCTACCTACCTGATGCAAACGTGCGCACGGCGGACACCCCCAGCAGTCCCTGGTGTCCCGTTTCCCTCTGCCGCCAGCGCGGTGAATGCTAAGCTGTATCATGGAAGCCCCATCATAGCCGCTGTCACACGCACAAGAGTCTTATGTCTAATCTTGTGCAGTGGCCAGCAGCTGCACTGGGGTCCATTTTCACCGGCTAGCTTTCTTCTTCTCTCCTTTTCTTGCTGGTCAGGATGGTGTTGTTTTTCCAGGTTGGCTGGAAAATTAAAAATAAGCATCGATGATCGTCACGGTTTTTTTTTTTTTTGTGTCGTTTTACGCAGTTAAGAAGGTTCCAACACCAATCGTATTTCTTGAGTATGTCATGAAATTTCTAAGAGTTTAAGAAATCAATTTCAAAAAAATTACGACTAAATGTGCAGTTTGACTTATGTCACTTCGACATTTTAACAATGTCATATGATATCTTTTAATGGTCGCTAAAATTTTAACATAAATGCAAGTGCCATTAATCAAGACTTTCCAACTGAATCTTAAAACATGCATCTTGATGCGTTTTTTTTTTAAGTCCAAGTTGACTGGTAAGTCAGATAGAAGCTTCATAACAAACAATATTCGCTGCTAACTTATAAAAAAAAATCAATATCATGAAAAAGTTATTTCCTCATTTTTATCAACGTGTTAGAGGTTGATGTGTTTGAAAATCCGTCGATTCGTGATCGAGTTGTTCGTATAATATATGTGTATTACACTCGCAGCACAGGTGTAGTATTACCGTAGCCGTTACGTAAAAAGTTCAGCGTGTATTGTTGGCGGTGCTCTTGTAAGGTGTCATTTCGA